TTTTATCTACTAGTGTTTGTAAGTAATATTTGACATTTTTATCTCTGAAAAAAAAACCAACACCAAAACCAGAAGGGGAGAAGAATCAGGGTTTTTTTGTTTGTTTACTTTGTACATCTGACAGCACAGGTAGTTCGTGAGTCATTTCTGCCTGTTGGGGGAAGGGGGAGAATGAGCATCGTTCCGTCAGATGTGGAAGAAGTGTTTTCCAAATAACAAGAAAAATTATTTGTAGAGAGGAAGGCCTCAGAGATGGGCTTGTTGACCAGATCATTTTAATTACTGGCTTTCTGAATTTCCCTTGACTTCAAATTGGTGATGTCTCCTTCAGGCTACAGTCAGACACCTCATCTCTAATACTGGGGATGAGGATGTTTAGATGAAGCTCCTGTCAGTGGGGTCTGTTTGCACACCAGCACCATGAAGGCTCACCTTCGTTTGCAATATATCTAGGAAAAGCAGCAGTTCTTGTCTCTCAAAACACAAAACAGACCCTGTGAAATCCCTCAAGCTCTACTGCTGTGGAAGCTGAGCCAGGTCTGTGGGCAAAGGACATGGCTTCTGACATTGTTCAGGGAAGCACTAGCGTGAGGCAAAATTCAAACATCTTCGGTCTGGGTGGTTTGAGTTTGTGTTTAAATTGGTTCACTCGCAAGCAGCTCTGCTCTCCCCTGGAGGTGAGGTTTGAAAACTGCAAACGGAGGCATTGCAGCCCCACACACAGCCGTGCTGATCGGAAGGAAAAGGGATGTTTACCAAAAAAAAAAGCCCCTCTTAGCAGCAGAGGCCCACGGCTTTGTTTGATATAATCACACTTTAAAACAGCTACAGCAAAGAGCTCTGACTCATAATCCACACAAAATTAGTCTCTGACCAACAATGATATTACCTTTTGCAGCCATCCCTCTTCTGACCATGTCTGCCCCTGCATCAAGGATGGCAGGACCCCAATCTTAAAACACTTAAATAGCAAATAAGTTCATCTCTGTCCTAAACAAATTTCCGGTCTAAATGGAAGAGATGCTCAGTGTAATGTTTAATATTACTCTTCTGTAATAAATAAGAATGAAAAGCACAAGATAGCCATGAGTTGTTCAATAGTTCAGGTGCTTAAACCAGTGTTGCCCATCGGTCCGTGAGCAGGACAGGCACTGTCAAAACCAGCCCGAGAGGAAGGGCGGCTGTCTGATAAAGCGTCAGGATGGAGGTTTGACTACGTGTCAAACAGCAGTTTCTGTGGCACAGACACAGATTTACATGAAATTTCATCTCTCACCTGACTGAAGCATTTTACAGTGACACATGAATTTCCTTTGTCAAAAACACCACTGTTGCCTTGTCTCATTCATTAGTGTTTCGCTTAGGATGATAATGTGTAAATCCCAGCACAAAGAACTTAGCACGTTTTGCTCTTCCCCAGCTGCTGAAGGAGATGGTCTTTATCTCCCCCGTCCAGCTTGTGTACCAGCACATCCCCAGTGAGCTCTTATTACTGCCTGTCACTCACACTCTGTGTACCGGTGCTGTGGCTGGACCACCAGCTTTCAGGTCTGGGCATCTGCTTGGGTCAGAGTTACAGGGATTGTTTTTCACAAAGAAATTAAAGTTTGTATTTCTGCAGCTGCCCGGGGATCTGGGGTATTAGTGCATGTGTAGGAGGGCATCTCATCGACAGCAAGAACCTGCCAAGGAATTGAATAAAGGTTCAGTTTATTTTCTGGGAAGAAAAAGAATCTTAGGCTTGGGGATGCTCATGATTTGCTGCAATCCTGCTGCCTCTGAAGTGCTGTGTCCATGGTGCAGGCAGTGTCATAGGCAGGAGCAACAGCCTTCCTCCTCTTGCCATCCGTGTCTTAGCTGGACTAACAGAGGCTACATTTCCCAGTGCAAGCTCAGTCTGTGCATCACTTCCATGCATGACTCTTTCACTATCATGGTCAACAATCGTGCAATTTGCAAGGATGATCCTTTGTGTTCTGATTGCCAGTTCATAAGGAAAAGCTACCGAACAGTCATGAGGTAGTTACGCAGTTTTTATCAGTAACCCTCCTGGTGAGAGGCCAGATTAACTACAAGTGGGAACTTCCTTGCTTGGCTGAATACAAACACATAGGACCTGTATAATGGCCATAAAAATTCCTCTAGGTGGTATAAAATGGCACTTTCTGTGTCTGTAATGAATAGCACTAGGGAGGCTGATAAACCTGTGCCGTACAAGGCATCCTGCAGAAGCACAGGAGGGTGGCTGGCTGAGAACCGTACTGTGCGTCCTCTAATGTTGTGCATGGCAGTAGTCATTTGTTGTCGTGGGTTTAGCATATCCTCCAATGAAGGCGCAGGATAGGGGCAGGCTTTTTAAAATGAAGTTTCATTCTCGTGATATGCTTTATTCTCTATTGTTGTTACTTGTTCTTCTTTATTGTTCATTTGTTATAGGGCAAATACCCCTAGAAAGGTGGGGTGCAAATATTTTGGGGACTGTTTGAATACAAGGAGTAAGCAACACTCATTGCATTGAAGAGCTTGGGATCAAAACAGCCAGGACAAAGCGTGAAAGCATGGGGAGCATTTGAAATCCATAGTTATTTCCTTTCCTTTTGTACTTAGCAAATGCAGCTTCAGTCTGGCCGCACAGATTTTCCCACCCACCTCTCTTAACAATCTTATATTTCAAGAGAGCTGAAATTATCATGTTCTTGCTAGCAAAGAAAGGCCTTTCATGTCATTTTCTAACCACAGTCATTTGAAATGAGCCACACAACTTGGTTCAGAGCACAGTGGCTCTGATGGATCCTTTTTTCCCTGATCCCACAGTGTACTAGTCATGTTGACATGTCACAAAGGGAACAACTGTGCTCTTGCCAGACACCTTCATGTTGCTAGATAACCTAAGTGACATGGTAAAACACGAAAAGGACTGTGTGGTTTCTAATCAAACAACCTGATTTTTGAGTAAGGGATCTGGGAGGGAGACCTCACCATTTACCCTCCTCTGTGCTTTGAAGCAGCATGGGACATCTCTGAAGACAGCTCCAGAGCCTGGGATCTCACAAGGCTTTTTGCAAAAGTCTAGAGCACTGATTGTAGACTGACTGAGTGCTGGTGAGAGGCAAGAAGGCTGTTTTTATTTAAATAGGCATAGTACCTACTGCTGGGTACCAGCTTGCTGGTCCTCCCTGGTATCCTGTGGCACTATCATAATATGTGTACTTGTGAATAACCTGGGCCATCTGGCAGCTATATATAGCATTAGGGGAGGCACCCAGAATTCCCATATTCACTGACCTTTACAACAGACACTATCTACAAGTGGCACTCCAAAACACATTGGAGAAAAGATAGTCCAAATAGACAAAGCAGTGATCAGAAGAAGGAACAGAGAGAGGGCTGTGATGGTGGTCTCACAGCAGGTCCATGATAGAGATTTACCTGCAGATTTCAAGACCTGTGTGACATTCCTACTAAGTAAAGGAGGTGGGTATGGTGGGAAGTCCACGCATTTTTTGTGTTGTATATATGTTCCTATAAATGCCCCCAGTTTCTGAGCCTAATTTCAGGCAAATTCACCACATAATCTTACCTGTGTCTTCAGAGTGGGGAGTGTAAAATTCTTCAATGCAGCTGCAACTAAAAAGAGCAAAGCAGCAGAGAAACAACAGGAAAAGTGTTGTAGAAAAGAAGCAGGAGCAGGGGCAGGAAGGAGTGGAAAGAGGCAAGGGCACCAGAGGAAGTGAGCTTGACACTAAAATCAGTCTGGCAGTGACTGCTTTGGAGGATCGTTGCTATCTTAGGGATGGGACTGGGAAGAGTAGGAGATTCCTCACCAGCAGCAGCTAGTGAACAGAGGCAGGACGTGCTGCACGGGTAGCACACGTAGCACGCTACTGACTTGTGCATGAACAGCGGGATGACACACAGGACTGACCACCCGTGTTACTGTAGCATGCGTCCCCTAGGTTGCCTTCTGTGCCCAGGGCTCTCCAGGCAATTCAGAGAGGCCCACATAGGGAGGAATTAGAGAGGAAAAAATAAACTACCAGCTTTATGTTGATTTTAATAGTTACCTCTTGAGACAGGCGCACAGCATCTGTAGCTATCCATTATTTGGTGTGTGGGTGGCAATTGTGACATTTCAGGAGCTCGAAGTTTAGCTTTGATGAGGCTGGGGGCCAAAGATCAAAATTAGACTCATCTGGGTGGGCTAAGGTTCAGCCTCATCTGATACATGTGTCTTTCTGTAACACTTACCACCTGACAGAGTTATGAAGCCTGTCCTTGCAGCGTTCTTAGGAAGGAATGAAATATTGCTGCAGAGATGGAAAACAAGAACAGGATATTTCGAAGATTTCCCAACACTGCAGAGGGCATCTAGATTGGGACTGGAGTCATGCTGAGGGTAGAATCTGAATTTTGTGAGGGATTTTAAGATTTTGACAGTGGTATTTAAAAAGGGGCTGTATAATGAAAGATTTTAGATTTTTGTATAAAAAAAGTCTGAAAAAATCTCCTGAGTCATTTCAAATGTATGTTTCAACAGAGCCAGAATATGTCAAGTATTCTGTAGTCTTTTCTTCTATAAAATCCGTCACTGAAAAATTGAAATGAAACAAAAAATTCAAGCTTTTTTTCCCCAAAAAATATTGACACATGATAATTCACTCTGTATTTGGCTAAAGTAAAATTCCAGGAAAATCAATGGTTTAATTAAATATTCTGGTTCCCAAAGGAGTGCTCACAATGAAAAAACTGTTCCTGTTGAAGTTTCTCCATACAGCTCTGTTCAGCATCAGATCAATATTCAAGGCTCTGGTGGCACTCAGTTCTTTCCCCATGGAGCTGCTAGACTAAGCCAATTTCTAAACGAACATCTTCCCTTAGGTATTTTCCTAATGCTTGCACCAGCTCTTCTCAGGCAATTTGGAAAGTGGTATGTCTATCACTCTTCTAACTTCTCTTTGTTTTTTTTCCTCCCTCCTTCTCCCCTTCCCACTCTCCTCCAGGAACCTTCTGCATCATTTCACTGTGCACGTGTGTGGCTGGAATCAACTTTGAGCTCTCCCGCTACCCTCGCTACCTGTATGGACTTCCCGACGACATCAGCCATGGCTATGGCTGGTCCATGTTCTGTGCGTGGGGGGGCTTGGGCCTCACTCTTATCTCTGGCTTCTTCTGCACTCTGGCCCCTTCTGTCCAACCTGTCCCCAGGACCAACTGCCCCAAATCTAGACCTGAGAATGGGACAGTGTGCTAAAACAAATAGCAAACAAATACACACACACACACATACATATATATATATATATATATGTCTATGTAAACCTATACATGCATATATATGTATATATAATTATATATATATATATATATATATAATCTGAAATTAATGCCAGTGCCAAGGTAGAGCTGAGTCCAACACGGCACTCACATCTCCACCGGACTCTGTGTTGCTTCTTTCTTTCTCACAGTGATGGGAAAGCTTTTCTTTCACATGGCTCTTCCATCCAACTCTTAACTTCAGCATCATACCTTAGAGGTTGAATGAACATACAGTTGCACCTACCTACTGCCATTTGGGAAGGGGAACAGGGGGTCCGTGTGGGGGATCTGGAACCAGAATCTGTGCAGGACATGGAGGGTGGGATGAGGGGGACAAAAAGTCTGTCCATTGCAGCAAGAAGGGAAAATGCAAACAGCAAGCAAAGGAACAAATCGAGCATTTGAGCCACCTCTACAACGTACCTCCTCAAGGCCATTATCAGGAACCCATCTTTTCTTTTTCTTTCTTAAAACAAAATGACAGAAGTCTGCCCTGTCATTAGTTTTGGGGTTTTTTGTTTGTTTTTTTCTTAAAACACAGAAAACAAAATGGACAGAACATGGGGAAAAACAGAAAAGTGTTTTCTTTTTGCCTGCCAAACTTTAGAGAGAAGCAAATGTGAAAATAATAATAATAATAAACAGATCTAATAAAAACAGAAAACAACAAAAAAAACTCCATGAGGACATCTCAGCGGACTTTCCAACAATGTGGTTTTAATCTTCCAGCTGCCTTACATCCAGGCTTACAACTGAGGCTGAACTGCTAATGTAAATGCAGCAGAAGGCCTTTTGAAAATGCTGTGATACATGTGTGTATAACCTTTTTTTCCCTCTTCTTTTATTTATTTTTTTTAAGAAAAAGAAAAATTTAAAACATTGCAATGTGATTGTCCACTAAACCATCCATGCTGTGTTTGTGGCCCAAGACCGAGGCACCGCAACTGCAGAAACATGAGGAAAGCCGTCAGGTCTGAGAGAGCGTGTCTCCTCTGGTGGATTTCAGCATGGTTTTTTATTTTCATGGAGCATCTGAGTTCAGGATGCCGGATCCAAGGGAAGACCAACCTGGGAGAAGGGAGGTGGGGGGAGCCCTGGCAGTTGTTCTTCCCAGGTGTTTGCTGGAGCAGGATTTCATCAAGTTTCCATTTTGGATGTTTAAGATGACTGGGCAAAAGTCATTGCCGAGGAGAAAAGGGGAGCTAAGTTTTGCAAGGGAGAAGTAAGCGACGCCTCTTTTTGTGTTCATGTATGCCAAATAAGACCTTCCCACTTCTTGTCTTTGGAAACTGCCCCAGTTCGCTGGACATCTCCACTCTCCATCTGGGAGAACTGTGTACAGATGGAAGCAAAAGGGTCAGATGCAGAGAACAGAGATCCATTTCCCATGAGCTCAAGCGTTGTATGATATAATTGTGAATCTGCAAATGGGACTCTCTTGTTTTTGGTCTTTCTCTTTTTCCTGCTACTCCTCTTCCTGTTGTCTCCTTATTCCTTCACTGCTCTTCTCATCATTCAGGTCATATGTCCCAGAAGAGCTAAATGAACGGTGAAGTCTGGAGAGGCGAGTGAATGCCATTGGGGGAAGCAAAGCATTTTGGCTGTGAGGGCAGTGGATCCCTGCAGGAGAACAGTGGCAGTGGGGAAGAAGGGCCAAGGGTGTAACCAAATGGAGTCTGAAGAGGCGATGATTGAATGGCCACATGCAGGAGTGAGGGTACCACTGACAAATGTACAGGCAAAGGGAGACAGGGCAAAGCAAAAAGGCCTCCCCAAAACCAACCCACCCCAACATGCTCTTAATTCAGGGTTAGTACCAGCAATCCTTTCTTACATGATAGCTGCATGCCATCAGTCCTCATTCGTCAATAAAAATCATCTTCTGCATCTATAAAAGCTCACCAGGAGAAGGAGGCAACCTGTTGAAACTGTGCCTACTGCACAGAAATTAAGGCATTAATTTCCAGATCATGCCATTTACACAGCTGTCAAGAAACAGTGTTTTTCTCAGTTAAAAAAATCCAACCACGAATAATTCTTATGCAATGCAATTGCATAGACAGCCATTCCCCTTTCAGCCCTCCTTACTCTCGTCGTTACACCTTGTTTGATGATGTTGCTTTATTAACAGTGCCCAAAGAAATTGTTTCTGGAGGGCATTTTGGAGTAGGGTAAATTTGGGTTTCTTTCATTCTTGCTCGACTACCTAGCTTTTGCTTTCTCTGGTCTACAAATTCCCCAAACATGCCAATGCCAGCTGCCAAGTCAGTGTGTTGCCACTGAAGTGCCATCCCTGGCAATTGAAGTTTTGTCATTTCATTCTTCATTAGATCTGACTGGAGAAAGTATTTATTTATTCATGTTGAAAATGACTTTTGAAGAAAATTCCTTTTTAATTAGGTTGGTTTGTTTCTTTTTTCTGGCAAGCTTTTTAAATAGAGTGGTTTTGAAAAGCTTTGAAACCATTTGACTGTGCAAGTGTCTGCTAGGTAAGGAGGCTGATGAACTACTGTTGGAGTGAAGAAGGAAATTAAAAGTAAAAACAAGACTTGGAAAGCTAAATGAAAACTGAAAGCAGAAAATCAATAACTGAAAATGAAAAGAGACCTATAAAGAAATTTGTGAAATTTTTCAAAATATAAACAGTTTTGAGAGAAAACAACTTCTCATTATGAGATTGATGCTTTATAAAAATGGTAATTGTTTCATTAAAGCAGCTTTGAACGCAAACTTTCTTCTTCCTCTGCAGTGCTGAGTGCAATAGGGAAGGTGTTTCATGTGAATAGAGACACCGGGAGTGACCCAGGTAAACTAAAGGGCACAGAGGTATCTAGCTGGGCTCCAGCGTCAGGCCCTGTGGCATGGAAGGCAGTACAACAGCTCCTGTGGTGTTGTACAGTCTTGTGTGGCCTGTGACTGGTCACAGGGTGTATTCTTTTAAAGATACAGTTTTGAAAGAGGTAGAAGCATAAGATTTAAAGAAATTGAAATAATTTTGCTCTTTCATGGATTCTCAAAGCTTTCTTTCTGCAGCTGGCATGAAAATAGTTCTGCTTTGATGAAGTGTTCTCTGACAGTGTTGGTTTACAAGCTGTATATGAGTCTGTGTGTTTGTCTGTGTGTGGCGATGGTGGCAGAGGGTTACAATTATTTACAACAGAAAAATGTTAGCCCTGGATCTTTAGGCCAGTTCTGTGGTTTTCCACTCACTATAGCATAGGCGCTCTAAGACCTGTGTGACTATGAAGCATCTTAAAAACTATGGGAGTAAGCGTCTGAAGCAGCAGATGATCATATAACCTTAATCTCAAACTGGATCCCCAAAGGGACCATTCATCCAAACACCAGTTCTCTCATCTTTGGCTCAAATAAGAGCAAAACCCCCTTGAGATATTGTGAATTTCCCTCAATGCTACTTGCAGAACCAAGAGGAGCCCTGCATGCTTTGATACCCTTGAAGGGGGCTCACAGCCCCACCATGCTTTCTGTTGGTTCAGACTCATCTTTAGAGAGCGGCTGACTCAAAATACATCCAAATCCAAATTCGCGATGGTTAGTGTCTCTGTCTATCCTGAGCCAAAGCACACTCCCCATCTAGTCTGAGTTTCTGCGGGTTTGGGAGGCTTTGAAATATCTTTCTGAACAGAGATTCAAGCTTTTTGACTAGTGTGTGGTTTTCTAGTTGGAGGAGTGTTAGTTGGAAATCTGTTGGCTGTGATCCCAGCAGTAAGGGGCTTGACGCTATCCCTCAGCTCTGCTCTGGCGAAGCACCTAAGCATGTGCTTTTCTTGGAGCATGTGACTAATCCTCTTAAGTTTGGTAAATTATTCATGTGCTTGAAGTTAAGAATGCTTTCCTGGGTGATGATCAGTTTTCTGCAGATTCCAGCCCTGCTCTTCTTTTCCTATCCCCTCCTTGTAGATAAAGTGACACTGTTGTCCCAGCCTGGTGTACCAGCGGGTGTTTGGTCTCCCTTTCCATGAGGTGGTGACGTGGAGTCTGTGGCTGGCAGGCTTTTTCCTGCATGTGGCCTTTCATGTTGCACTGCTGGGACAACACAACTCTGCTCCAAGACCACAGAGGAACTTGACTGCAGTGAACACAGGTGTCATCAAATGCCAGTCTGGGATTGGCTAGGGACTGGCTCAACCCACTGCAGTCTGGGGCCCGAGGTTTTGTGTATAGTGACTCAGTTATTGTCCAGTGAAGTTGTCTGAAGATTGCAGCAAGTTAGCTACAGGGGGTTCTGATGTCCATCCCTGCTGGGGGCACTGTATACATGAGGGGGCTACATGGCAGGAGTCCATGTGCTCTGTATCTTATGTACTGTATAGGACACCTTCTTCTTCAAGCTAAAGATGTTTGTGTGTTAAAATTCCTGACTCGTATTGGCCACGTGTATATAGCATCTCTTCCTCTCCCTCTCCGCAAACACACAGCTGATCTTCCTTGATCTAAACAGTACAGTCCCTCCAGTTAAATTTCTAGTTGGGCTTTTTTTTTTTTCCTTTTCATTCTACCCCAGGGACAGTCACAAGTGGATCTCAAACCACCAGTGACCAGAGCAATTTCTTTGAAATATTTCTTTTGAAAAATTGCCATTACTGTTTTTAATGTTATTCCAGCTGCAGTAACAAATGAAAGGAAAAAAACCCAAACCCCTCAGAGTCCTCTAAACAAAGGATCCCAGGAGAGAATTGTGAGAGTGCAGGTATTCTGCTTTCCTGTAGATGCAAGTGTCATTTGGGACCACTTTTAGTTATGTCACATGTGCAGTTCATTGGATGGTGAATAAAATAACGGTTGGTGAGGGAGAGGATTGATATGCAGGGTGTATCTCAGATTCCCAAGCGTTCCTGGAAGACTGTGTGTCCATGGCTGTCCATTTACCCACCATGCAGCACCTCTGAATCAGGCTCATCCCTGGAGACCCACTGATAAGCAAAGCTCAGAAGAAAATCACTGTAATCTGTCCTTAATTCTTGAGTGCCAAGTTAACTGCCAGCAGTGAAACAGAGAGGAAATAATATGTTACCAATATAGCTTAAATAAAGACATACATTATTCGGGCTCTTTCCTCTGTGTGTCTCTACATAGGCCTAGAGGAGTGCTCAGGCACATTCACACAAACCAGTACTGCATTTCCTTGGCCCCAGGTTTTGCACTCTTTCATGGTCCATACTGCTGTGCTCATCCAGCCAGCAAGGGAAGACTCAAGGTGAAAAACTGAGACAGCTCTGAACAATTGCCAGGCACCACTAAAAGACAAAGAGTAAAAGAGTGTGCATGAAGCACAAATGGCATGTAAAGATTAGTGATGGATGATTTTCCAAGGTCAAGAACTGAGTTTCAAAAAACCTAAAGTTTGACTGCAAACTGCAGGACAGATCCACAAGATCTTGATACTGCCAGTCTAAGCTGAAAACTCATAAAAACAGGGCTGAGTGCAAATCTTATAGCCCCATTGTTTCTAGTTATAGCCAGGAATATAATGCATCTGTTCCATAGTCTGTTGAAGTCCACAGAAAGCT